TATTTTTTTATAATATCTTTTTCTGGTTTTTGGTATCAGGTTAATATTTGTCTTATAGAGTGAATTGAGAAGTTTTCCCTAATCTTCAGTTTTCTGGATGAGTTAGTAAGGAATTGGTATTATTTCTTGTTATTTTCCTTGTGGGAAGGTTTTAACTTGAACTAAATGTCTTCTATATATGTAGGGTTATTTAATTCTTCTTGAGTTTTTATGGTTTGATTCTTCTAAAAATTTGTTCCATTTAAGCAGGCAAATTTACTGACATGTAGTAGTTCACAACATTCCCTTATTATTCTTTATTATTTTATTGAGGTGAAATTCACTTAACATGCAATAAAACATTTTAAAGTGTATAATTCAGTGACATTTGGTGCATTCACAATGTTGTAAAACCACTACCCAGTTTCAGACTTTTTCAAAACTTTTCCATCACCCTAGAGGAACACCACAGACCTATTAAGTAATCATTCCTCATTTCCCCCTTTCCCTATCTGCTAGAAACCACTAATCTACTTTTTGTCACCATGGATTTGCCTGTTCTGGATATTTCATGTATATGAAATCATACAATATATTACCTTTGGGCCTGGCTTCTTTGACTTAGCATAATATTTTCAAGGTTCATCTATATTATAGTATGTATCAGTACTCCATTCCTTTTTATGGCTGCAGAATATTCCATTGTATTGCACCATAACTTGCTTATCCATTCACCTGTTGGTGGACGTTTGGGTGGTTTCCATACTTTGACTATTGTGAATGGCACTGTTGTGAACAAGTTTCTAAGTCCCTATTTTCAATTTTTTTCGGGTATATACCCAGGAGTGGAATTGTTGAGTCGTGGTGATTCTAGATTTAACTTTTTGAGGAACTGCCAAATTGTTTTCCACAGCAACTGCACCACTTTACATTTTCACCAGTAGTTACAAGGGTGCCTATTCCTCCAGGTCCTCACCAATACTTATTTTACTCTTTTTTGATTATAGCCATCCTAGTAGCTGTGAAGTGATATCACATTCACATTGTGGTTTTGACTTAATTACCATTTTAATGTCTTTTGTATCTGTAGTTATGTTTTATTAATCATTCTTGATGGTAATTTGTGTCTTCTCCTTTTTTTCCTGGTCTGTGTGGCTAGATCTGTATCAATAATATTTATTTTACTAAAGAACCAACTTTTGGTTTAGTTAATTTTCTGCACTTTTAAAATTGCTTTCCAGCTCATAGATTTCTACTTGTATCTTTATTTTCTTTCTTCTGTTTCCTTTGCTCTTTTTGTTTTAGTAAGCTTAAGTAATTGATTTGAGATCTTTCTTTTTTTCCCTAATACAGTTATTTAGTGCTATAATTTTTCCTCTTGTTACTGCTTTTGTTGCCTCAACATTTTGATATGTTGTGTTTTCATTTTTATTCAGGTCAAAATGTTTCCTAATTTCAACTGTGATTTTCTTCTTGGTCCCATTGTTATTTAGACATATGCTATTTATTTTCCAAGTTTTTTGGAGGGTTTCTCAGATCCCTTTTTTGTCATTGATTTATAATTTAATTCCATTGTGGTCAGGAAACATTTTTCTTATTTAATTCAGGAAACATTTTTCTTATTTAATTCCTTTAAAGATTTATTGAAAGTTTTTTTAATTACTCAGAGTGTGATCTTTGAAAATATTTCATGATGACTTGAAAAAATATGTATTCTATTATAATTGTGTGGAGTCTGCAAATGTCAATTAAATGCTGTTGGATGATAATGTTGTTTGTATCTCTTATATCCATTACTGCTGTTTGAATGTCTGTTTCTTTTGGTTCTAAATTTATATCTTTGCATTGTATGTTTTTAAGCTCTTAATTAGATGCATAAACCTTTAGGGTTATTTCCTCTTGATGAATTGACCCCTTTATTATTATGTAATGCCCTTTTTTATTTCTGGCAGTATTTTCTCTGAAACCTACTTTTTATAATGATAATATAGTCACTCCAGCTTTCTTTTGATTAGAGTTAGCATGGTACATTTTTTTCCCATCCTTTTTCTTTTAACATATGTATACATCTATATTTAAAATAGGTTTCCTATAAATAACATATAGTGTGATCTGCTTTGGTATCCAATCTTAAAGTCTCTGCATTTTAATTGGGATGTTTAGACCACTTATATTTAATGTGATTATTGATATGTTTGGGTATAAATCTGTCATTTTGCTATTGGTTTTCTATTTTTCACATCTGTTATTAGAGGGTTTTTTTTCTGCCTTATTTTGAATTGAGTGCTTTTTATTTTCAATTTTATCACCTTTACTAGCTTATTAGCTTTATCTCTTTGTTTTTAGAAATTGCTTTGGAATTTATTGTAGATGTCCTTAACGTATCTATCTTCTAGTCTATATCTTTGGTATAGTAATACTATACCAAACCACATATAGCATAAGAACCTTACAACAGTGTACATCTCCCATCTCCTGGCCTTTATATCATGGTTGTCATGTTATTCTCTAATATATATATTGTTATAAGCCCCGTAATACATTACTATTATTTTTGCTTTAAATTGTCTATTTTCTTTGAAAACAATCTTAAAGATTAAGAAAAAAGACTTTTAAATTTATTTATGTATTTATTGTTTCCGTGTTGTAGATCCAGATTTCCTTCTGATATTTTCCTTTTGTATTTTAGACTTCCTTTAATATTATTTGTAGTTCAGATGTGTTGGGTGATGCATTATTTTAGCTTTTGTTTGTAAAAGTCTTCATTTTACTTTTGTACTTGAAAGTTATTTTCACTATAGTAGTCCATGTTGACAGCTTTTTCTTTCTTTACTTTATAGATGTTCTGTCAGCTTCTGGCTTGCACTGTTTCTGAGAGGTTCTTTGTCCACCATGTCTGTGTTTGTCCCTCTGTACATAATGTTTCTTTATTTAGAAAATGAATTTTATTGTGTGTATTTAAGGAATACAAAATGATGTTATGGAATACATACAAATAGTAAAAAGGTTCCTACAGTGAAGTAACTTAACATATCCATCATCTCACATAGGTGCTTATTTTTGTTTTGTTTGTTTTGTGGCAAGAGCAGCTAATGATAGCTTTTTAGCTGCTCTTGCCATAATATTTATTTATTTTTTTTCTGGCTGCTTTTAAGATTTTCTTTTTAGGTAATTTGGTTATGATGTGCATTGGTTTAATTTCCTTCATGTTTTTTGTAGGTTGGGGATTGGTGACCTTCTCGGATCTATGTATGGGTGCATAACTTTCATCCATCCATTAAAAATTTTTTTTGTCATCATTATCCTGTACCCCTCTTCTGGGTTTCCAGTTACACATATATTTCTATCTTTTGGGAAGAGGGAATCTTTCTCTTTCTGTTTCATTTTAGATAGTTTTTGTCTGCACAGATTGTTCTGTCTGCACATTGACTAATCTTTTCTTTCGTAGCGTCTAAAGTGGTGTTAATCCCAGTCAGTGCATTTTTTTAAATCTCAGATGTATTTTTCATCTTTGGATGTTTGAGTTGGGTTTTTCTTAAAGTGCTTTTCTTGTCTCTCCTTAGCGTTTTATGCTTTCTTCTATCTTTTTAACATATGCAATATATTTCTAATAGTCATTTTAATGTTTTTGTATACTAATTATCTCCTTTTGAAATATTTGGGTCTGCTTATTGACCAACAATTCTCATTATTAAATATATTTTCATGCTTCTTTACATGCTGGTATTTTTTAGATGGTTGAAAGATATTGTGAATTTTATTATTGGGTTCTGTATTTTAAAAAATATTTGGTACTTTGTTTTGGAGTGCAATTAAATTACTTGGAAAGCTTAAATCCTTTAGTGGCTAATTAAACTTTGTTAGGCAGTGCCTAGTTTAGTAACCAGTTGAATCTGGTGCTAGCGTGGCCCTACTACTGAGGCAGTGCCCTTCTGAGCCATCAGCCCAGTGTCCCCTGTGTTACGAGGTTTCTCTGGCTTAGTAGTTTGACTGTGAACATTCCCATATCTGTGTGAGCCATTGTTTGTCCTTTTCCTTTCTCTGGCTCCTCCCTGGCCACTGGTTGTTACTTGCTCAGTGTGCTGTCAGTGTCCACGTCAAGACTCCAAGGAATACACCACTGATCTCTGGAGCATTTCTCCATGCATCTCCTTTCTTTCTGGCCCTCTGCCCTTTAATTCTAGCTGCCCTCGCCTCCCTGAGTTCTCAGTGCTCTCTTTAGCTCAGGACTCCTCTGGCTGTGCCTGGATTCCCTTCTGCGGACTGGAACCCTGCCCAAGCTGTGGGCCGGGGCAGTCAGAGGACACGTTACATTTGTTTCCCTTCTCTCAGGGTTGTCCTGTGCTGCATGCTGTATCATGCCTGAAAACCCTATTTGATGTATTTTTTCTGATTTTTAGTGGTTTGAGGTGGGAGAGTCAATCCAGCCACTGTTCCTCTGTCACAGGTAGACGGGCATGCTCTGTTCAGAGCCTCTTACATTCCTTTAGTCTTCAGTCACCTCTGGACAGAGGCCTTTTCAGCTATCTGCAGGAGTCTCTGTGGCATTGTTTACCTGCTCATTGAGTCTGCTCAGGGAGGGCTTCTCGGTCCTGTGGTCCAGGTGGGGCTCTTCCTAGTGGAGCTGAGGCCTGTGGCATCCTGGACCGGCCTGGTGACACCTCACTGTGTTCTTTTCCTTACTACTCTCCGCAGGTTCAGAGGGGTTTGGGGATCAGCTCTGCCCTAACTCCAGTTGCACTTAGGACTGTGGGATGCATCTTGGGGAGTCTGGAATTTGAAGCCTTTATCAGTATCTTTTCAGTTCCAGTTTAAAATGTAATCACTCTTTATGGAATTCTTTCTCTGGGAAACTGTCTTTGACCTTCCCAACGACTGATAGATATGTTCTTCTAATAGATTACTTTGATTTGAAAAATTTGACATCTAAGGTGATAGGTGATTTTGACTTCTGTCTCTCTTTGGATTCTTTTCTACATATGGTTTTCAATTTTAATTATTTTTCCTTAAACTGTTTACAGGACTGTCTATGAGAGAGAAGCTCCTCACGTGATTCCATGTAAGTAGCACTTCTTATGATGCTGTCACAAAGGTTATGTCTTGCAGTTGAGTGACCCTTTTGTGCCCACTGATTTGTACAGTCCTGCTTGCACCTGAAGCTGCATGTCTTGCTGACCCCCTTGTGCCCTGTGGTTTTATGTCATGAGAGGGGCCTGTCACGGGTCAGCGTGCAACAGCATTGTGAGTGACGTGCATTACCTCCTGGCTTCTGTAGAACCAAGATTTAAAGAGGCAGTTTCCTTCTTTCCTGTTAACCTTTCTTCTCCAAAGTTAACCTGACCAGATAGTCCAGCACAGGCCCGAGGAGGGCCAGTTGTTAGCACACTTTGAGCTGATGTGCCTTTGTGCCTGTGTGTTGGCGCTGCTGCTGGCCTGGCAGTGGTGAGTGTGTGCTGTGGCCGTGGTGGCGCAGTGGTGCCTGCAACTACACGGTGGGTGGGTGACAGCTGTGGAAAGGACCTAGGCTCTCTGGCACACAGTGGCGCATACCTGTCTCAGATACCGCATTGTGGCCCTGACTCTAGTTTTGTAAAACTACCTTTAGATGATTCCTTTTGAAATTATCCTAAAGCGGTCTTTCTTTTACTAAAGCTTATAGCTGTTAGTTTAAAAAATTTTTAGCAAGAAAGTTGTTTTTACAGTCTTGTGTGGAAAACTAAAGCCATCATAATAGTTGCTCGTGCCAGTGAATCTCCTGTGTAGTACCTGCCGTCCTGATCTGCACATGTCATGTAGAGCTGCTCACATGGTCCCCACAGTGCCCTTCAAGTGGGCGTTGTTATTCTACCCACTTTCCTGCAGCTTGGAGAGGTGAAGGAACTTGCTCAAGTCACCCTGGTTGCAAGTGGCAAGGCTGGGATTCGAGCTGAGCCTCTGGTTTCATAGTAGCAGCCTAAGGGGGCTGCCTTGGCGATGTGGTGTTGAGTCCTGCCTTCCTTGACAGCAGCCCCGTGGCCTCTGTGGGGTCCTGAGCTCAGTGGATCCTGACGAGAGAGCTCCTGCACAGCCCACCAGCCTTCCAGAGCTGCCCCCACAGCAGAGCAGTGACTTAATTCGCAGCCCCTCAGACAGATGGTAGTGCCGGGCGGGAGGCCTGTGCGCCTGGGCACTTGGGCTGTGGGCGCCTGGTGCCTGGCTAACATCTGAAGAGCAGCGTTCTTATTAACAAATTGCTTGAACAAAGACTTTGTTCTTTCATTCATTCAGCAGATGTTTATGGTGTGCTTGTGATGTGCCAGGCACTCCTCCAGAATCCTGACATCCTTGTGGGGGGAAACAAAACATGAGTGTGATGAGTGAATACATCCCGTCAGCATGACGATGGCTGTGGAAGAAACAGAAGGGAAGGGTGTGAGGGTGATGCTGTGTGCAAACAGGCCATCAGCTCAGCCCCTGGGGAGCCAGCCTTGCCAGGGGTGCAAAAGAGAGCCTCATGGGGGAGTGCACAGGGGTGAGCCATAAGGTGCTGGGAGTGCAGGCTTCAGGGCCAAGGGGACATTGAGCAGAGGCTCAGGTCAGATGTAACTGGATGTCCACAAGCATCGGGGAGGTAGGAATAGCTGGAGCAGGGTGCGCAGGCAGCAGGGGCAGGACATGAGGTCAGAGTATAGCAGGGGACACCAATTCTGAGGCTGGCTCTCGGTCCACGTGGAATGGGGGCTGAGAATAGACCATAGAGGCTAAGTGTGGGAGCAGGGAGCCAGCTAGTGTTCTTCTCTCTGTACTCGATTATTGTTGTTTTTTAAACTAAAGCTGTTATAATACCTGCTTCTTACAGGAATCCAAATCCCTATTACTTTGGGACCAACCCTGTAATTGTATACATCTGGATCTAATTTTCACAGAAATCTCGAGGGAAGAGCCTCTGGACTCAGACATACAAACAACACCCTTTCTGCACTATGCCTCTTTTCCCTTCGACTTTGGTGTTGTCCATATTCCTCCCCCTGGCAGACAGGAAACTTGAGCTCAGACTCAGCCTATGGTTCTGGGGTGGGGTGAGCTGGCTGGAGTCACGCTACCTGTCTCCAAGCTAGCACAGGCCCAGGGCAGCCAGCATGAGAGGTGGTCCGAGCCAGCACGGCTATTCTTGGCTACTCATTTTCTAGATGAACTTCAGGAATGATTTTCAAGTTAAAAAAGTTAATCATATTGAGATTTTGTTCCAAATGGATCCAATCTATAATTTAAATTGAAAACAGCTAATATTTTAACAGCATTTAGTTTCTGATATAGAAAGATCTTGTCTTTCCATGTATTCTCTTATTAGCCTTCAGTTACATTTATAGCCTTCTTGCTATAGGATTTCTCTTTTGAACTCTTTTCCAACTAATTAGTGTTATTTGATTATTATAATTGGATTTTTTCTATTGGATTTATCAAATATTTAACAGAATATAGGAAAACTATCAATTTCTAATATTTGGAGAGGGGAATATGTTAAAATGCTTTTATTTCCAAGACGGTTTCAGTTGAAATTTGGCATGTTCCTTCCTTGACCCAAAAGCATTCACCGTGAAGTATGCTTGTTGTAGCTGGCAGCTAAATATTCTTCATTAATCTACAGAAGCTTTCTTATACTGCTGTTATTTAAGTTGTTTGTTTTTTAAAATTGAAAGTGTAAGTTGCCTTTTATTAAATGTGTTCATGGCTGCTATTAAGGTGGTCACGTGATTTTCCCCTTTCCTCTTTTAATGTGTGAATTCTGTTGATTAAATTCCAAATGTTGATTCTTGGAATAAATCCTGTTAGGTCTTACTGATACTTTTTAATGCTCTTGCAGTTGTAATATGCTACCCATATTTTACTGGCACTAGAATAAGGGTTAACAATGCAGATGGGGCTGGAGTTAAGGTTAGCGTTAGGGTTGGGGTGGGGGTTACTGTGAGTTAGAGTTCCTGTGAAGGTTGGGGTTAGTGTTAGAGTTAGCTTCCATTGGCTTTGATATGTACTGACTTCTTGTTATTTGGGTTTTTATTACTTAATTCAAAACATTAAACATTTCTAGGTGTTTTCCCCCCATCTGGGAGGACTATCTTTTGTCGTTACATTTCTACCTTTAAAGCATCAGGTTTGGCCTGCACAGATCAGAGAGGGGCTGGGAACCCTTTGGGGTTGTGGTTGTCTTAGAGCTGTGGCAAGAGTGTGGCTGGGGGAGGTGGCTGTGGGGCTTGGGCACTAGAAAGGGAACCCACTGAGAGTGAGTCCCAGACCATCATGGGGCCACGGAGTATGGGCTGACCAGAGGGGAAGGTGGCCAGAGGGAGTCTATGTGGTTTTATGCTGCATGGCCCCAGGGAGGTGGAGCGATCACAGGTGAGGAAGAGAGCCTGGAGTTTGTGGAGAGCAGATGAACTTCTGAGTTAGACCTAAGAGAGAAGCTCCACTGGGGCTTTTGGAATCCCAGCTTGGCGCTGAGGGTGGTGTGTGGAGAGCAACAATCAGGCCCACAGAGGCTGTGGCTAGGGGCAGTTAAGCTGCTGAAACAGAGCTCCCAACTCAACAGCTCTGATAAAGTCAAGTTTGTTTCTCCTGGTGTTACAGTGCCGGGGTGGGAGGGGTGGGCTCTAGGTGGCCTGCCACTCTCAGCGTGTGGTTTCTGTCTTTTGCTTTGCTGTAAGGAATGCAGGTGCCTCTCATGTGTTCTCCAGCCTGTGGGAAGAGGAAGAGAGTGCAACAGAGGGCAGCTTCGTTTTAAGAATCTGAAGCCCCAGTTTTGTTAGCTTGTATCATGGCTGCAGGACTGGCTGTATACAACCGAGGGCCATGGTGACACTCTGTGTGTGCAGAGGAGGCTGGGCAGTGCATCCCAGGGCAGCCCCTGCTCAGCCAGAGCCCTGTGGTCATGGAGGAGGGAGAAGGGATTCGGGGAAGAGCTCTCTGCCTGCCGTAGGCAAGGGTGAGGGCCTAGGAGGCACTGAAGAATGATCAGGAGAGAACTAAGGGGGCACCTAGAGTCTCCCACACATCAGAGTCAGAGGAACTCACAGGAGCATTGGCGTTGTTTGAAAAACAGATGCGACGCCAGTATGGTGTTGTGTCGGGACATTGAAACCCAGCAGGTACTTGGTCTAGGAGGGAGCTTCAGGCCGTTAGATCATGTCCTGGGCCAACCGAGCCTCCTGGAATCTCTGCAGCATCCGTCCAGTGTCTGTGGGTGCTGCTGTGGTGACACAGGTAGGTGCTGTCCCTTCCTAGCTAAGATAGAGGGACTGCAGGGACGGTGGGCCTCCTTCCTGTGCGAGCACAGCGCCAGAGGCAGAGGGGGCTGTGTGGGTGGAGGACTCGCTTGCTGGGGGAAGGGCATCTTCACACACTTTCAAAGAGCAGTGGCAAAGCACAGGTGGCCACTGAGACTGCCATCTGCCTGTTGCGGGCCCAGCTCTGCAGCCTCCCCAGATCTCAGGATCTCGTTTCAAAACGGGCACAGCACACCTCTCAAGGGATGACCAGCAGCTGCCCGTGGGGCCCATGGAAGGCCTCAGGTGCCGGATCTTTACCCCCTTCCCCCTCTTGGTTTTCTCTGTCTTGGTGGCCAGTGCCCTTGCTGGGCCTTTTTCCCCCTGTGCTAGAGATTTTGGAGAGAGCTGTCCTCCCGGAGGCATAGATCAGATTGCAGCCTGGCGTGAGGGGATGATCATTTTTCACGATGACTCATCCCTCCCCTGCTGCCGCGTTGCCAAGCTGTCTGGCGGCCTGCGTGTGGAGACGGTGATGGATCTGGACAGTCATTGGTGCTGGCCTGCGCTGGCCGGGATGGCGGCAGGGTGGAGAACAACCTCCTCTGTGCGCACACATGCTTTATTCACAAGTGCGCCGTCCATTCGTCACTGACGCAGCCTGCGTGCTGTTGCTGTCCACACCCTGGGCAGGGTGTGACTGGAGGCAGTGGGCTGTGCCCCCAGTTGTCTCTGACTTTGGCAAGCATCTCTCACTTTAGTCCCATCTTCTGCTTGTCTCAGGCCTCCTTTTTTTTTCCCCTCCAAAGCCCCAGTGGCA